TTCCCAGGAAAACCCCAAATCCTCCCCTTTCTCCCCCCAGAACACCCACCAGCCCCCCAAGGCCAAGGAGGACGGGGCCCGGAAGGTGCTGCTGACCCCCAAGCAGGAGCCCCTGGAGACCCCCGTGTCCAAGGTTTCCGAGGAATCCTCGTCGTCCTCGGAGGAGGACGAGCCCCCGAGTTCCCCGGAGCTGCGCAAGGCCAAGAGGAGCCGATTCCAAAGAAAATCGGGATCCAAATCCAAGGGCAGCGGTTGGACCTGCGGCGTCTGTCACTCCTGGTTCCCCGAGCGCGACGAGTACGTGGCACACATGAAGAAGGAGCACGGGAAGGTGAGATGGGAATTCCTGGGAATTCCTGGGAATTCCAACCCCCCCCCCCCCGGGAATGTGGGGGTGGGGAGCTTCGGGTGGGGTGTGGGGTGTCCTGGGATTCCTTTGGATGGGATTCCTTTGGATGGGATTCCACTTGTTCTGGGGTTCCCTTGGATGGGATTCCTTTGGTTGGGGTTCCCTTGGATGGGATTCCACCTGTCCTGGGATTCCCTTGGATGGGATTTCCTTTGGATGGGATTCCACCCATTCTGGGGTTCCCTTGGATGGGATTCCACCTGTCCTGGGGTTCCTTTGGATGGGATTCCCTTGGATGGGATTCCCTTGGATGGAATTCCTTTGGATGAGATTCCTTTTTATGGGATTCCCTTGGATGGGATTCCACCTGTCCTGGGATTCCCTTGGATGGGATTCCCTTGGATGGGATTCTACCCATCCTGGGACCTCCAGGATCCATCCTGGAAAACCTGCAGGTCTCGGCTCCTCCAGCCAGAGACACATTGGGAAACATCCTCCCCTCCCAGCCCATCCCATTCCAAAGGGAAATGTCCTCTTCATCCCATCCCATCCCATCCCATCCCATCCCATCCCATCCCATCCCATCCCATCCCATCCCATCCCATCCCATCCCATCCCATTATCCCATTCCAAAGGGAAATGTCCTCTTCATCCCTTTGGATGAGATTCCACCCCCCCGGGGTTGAGCTTGGAGGATCCCGAGTTGCTCCCGATCCCTGTGGTCACCCCTGGGATGTGCAGGGAGCGGGAATCCGAGTCCCCCCCACCCTCTGGATCGGGATCCGTCCCCCTTCCCCTAATCCCGGATTTAGGGATCCCTTTGTTGCCCCCCCAGTCGGTGAAGAAGTTCCCGTGTCACCTCTGTGAACGTTCCTTCTGCTCGGCCCCGAGTCTGCGGCGCCACGTCCGCGTCAACCACGAGGGCATCAAACGGGTCTATCCCTGCAGGTACCCACGGATCCTTCCCGGGAAAACCCCCAGGGGGGGATGGAAAACCCTTGGGGGGGATGGAAAAACCCTCGGGGGGAATGGAAAACCCCTGGGGGGATGGAAAAACCCCGGGGGGGCTGGAAAAACCCCGGGGGGGCTGGAAAACCCTCAGGGGGGATGGGGAGGGGATCAGGGAGGGGACATTTGGGATCAGGGAGGGGACACTTGGGATCAGGATGGGACACCTGGGATCAGGGATGGGACATTCGGGATCAGGATGGGACACCTGGGATCAGGGGTGGGACATTTGGGATCAGGGATGGGACATTTGGGATCAGGGATGGGACATTTGGGATCAGGGAGGGGACACTTGGGATCCTTCTCCTCCAGGGTTGTTTTAGGAGGAGGGGGGGCTGGGAAAAAAAAAAAAAAAACCGGGGGGCTGGGAAACCCTCAGGGGGGAGGGAAAAACCCCGGGGGGGATGGAAAACCCCTGGGGGGGGAAGGAAAACCCCCAGGGGGGAGGTCGGATCCAGGGAGGGGGAGAAGGGTGGGGAGGTGAAGCCGCGGGAGAACGGACACGGAGCGTGTCCGGGGAGGATCCGGGTTCTGGTTTTGGGATTTGGGATTGGGATGTTGGAGCAGAATTCCCAGGGGAACCAGCAGGGCTTGGGAGCTTCCCGAGGTCCCTTCCCACCCCCAGGTACTGCACGGAGGGCAAAAGGACCTTCAGCAGCCGCCTGATCCTGGAGAAGCACATCCAGGTCCGGCACGGGATCAAGGTGACGGATCAGATGAAGAGCCAGGAGGTCGTGATCGCCCGGATCGGGAGCGGCCCCGCCCAGGTACGGGGGATCCAAGGGATTCCTGGAGGGATCCAGGGATGGGATTCCAGGATGGGATTCCTGGATGGATTCCTGGATGGGATTCCTGGATGGATCCTTGGATGGGATTCCTGGATGGATCCCTGGATGGGATCCCAGCTGTTCTGGGACTCCCTTGGGTGGGATTCCTGGATGGATCCCTGGATGGGATCCCACCTGTTCTGGGACCCCCTTGGGATGGGATTCCTGGATGGATCCCTGGATGGCACTCCACCTGTTCTGGGACCCCCCTTGGGTGGGATTTCTGGATGAATCCCTGGATGGGATTCCAGCTGTTCTGGGACCCCCCTTGGATGGGATTCCTGGATGGATCCCGGAATGGGATCCCCCCTTTTCTGGGCCCCCCTTGGCTGTGATCCCACCGCTCCCGGTGCCCCCCCAGCCCTCGATCCCAGCGAATCCTTTGGGTCGGATCCCGCTGCCGTTCGCTTCCTTCCCATCCCAATTCAACCCCTCCCCGTCCTTCCCGCAGCTCCCGGGCCGGAAGAGGAAACTCTCCTCGGATGATTCCTGCAGCGAGGAGCCCGACAGCACCACCCCCCCCTCCAAAACCCCCCGTGGGGAGCGCAAAGCCCCCCTGAGGTGCCGCAAGTGCGGGTACCTGGCCAGCAGCGCCTCCGACTTCCAGGAGCACATCCCGAGGCACCGGACCGACGGCAGCTCCCACCAGTGCCGGGAATGCGGCCTCTGCTTCACCTCCCAGGTGTCCCTCAACCGCCACCGCTTCATCACACACAAGAAGAAGAAGGGATCCCCGGGGGATCATCCCGGGGAGGATCATCCCGGGAGGGATCATCCCGGGAAGGATCGTCCCGGCAGCCCCCGGGAAGGGGGATCGCAGAGCGACGGGAGGTTGG